GGACAAAATATCAAGCAAGCTCCAATTTACACTCCAGCAGTGATGAAATATCCAATTCCAGTCGGCATCTACAGGACTTTACAATGAAGAACTACATCCTAACCCTGTTGCCTTCAGGTGTAGATATCAGTTTCTCCTTTTTATTTCCGCCGACAGTGGCGAATGATCCTAATCAGCTTCATCAGACAGGTTGGGATGTGAATGATGAAAAGTGCGGATGTGTAACCCAGCGCTCAAGGCCTGCACGTTTTGTAAAACGCCATGCGGCACAGTACGCCGGTAACTTTGTAATCCTCACTTCCGGGCTTTTATATACCGCTGGTTGTTCCAGGGATTAGGACCGAATGTTGAGAATGATTGATTTGGAGGTTGATAAAAAGTACGTCTAGGTAAATACCACGGCGTTAGCCTAGCACTTAATCATTTCAATGCACATTTGGTTTTAAAAAAGGAAGTTCAGTCCATACCAATGGGGTTAGGTTTTACCTAGTAGGTACCTTAATAGAGGAGGATCGCTTTGCCAATACGTTATATATGTGAGTGATTTTGGGGGTGAGTTAAAGTATTCATTATATATTACTAGTACGTACTCTTTTGCATGTACAAAACACACGAATTCTCGAGGTCTCAGACTTCCATAAAATATTTGCATCTTGTGTAGCTGTCAAGGAGGTCATGTAACGAAATGACAGCTATGAGTAAAGACAGACATATATACAAGCAGACAGACACACAGACACACAGACACACACACACACACACACAGACACACAGACACAGACACAGACACACACACACACACACACACACACACACACACACACACACACACACACACACACACACACACACACACACACACACACTGTGTGCAGTCCAGTGTCTTGGAATCGGTGACCTCTATTCAGTACAGTCTACCGGAAACGGTCCATCACCAGTCAAAACACGCTTCACCCCCCCCCCCGTTTTAGGCCAGCCTTACCGTGCAGCCTACATTAAACGTTTGCCATAGCGTGTCGGGGTCTGCTAGTTAGCAATCACGCGGGGAGACTATAAGGTTGTGTGTCGTGTGAAATATTAAGTTCGCCTCTATTTTTAGGAGAAGTTTAGGCCAAATGGATGAATCTTGCAATTAAGGCTTTATTTTGGGTTTTCATTCGAGGCTGCTCAGACTCAAGTCTAGAGACCGTCTCTTGTAGGGAATAATTTTAAAGCAAATGACTTCATGCGGGATGAAAGGACGTCCCTTCAGCTGCATGAACATGTTTCCAACAAATGGGCAATTCTATTTATAATTAACATCTTTTAATTCAAAAACAAGTACTATAGAAAAATACTAAAACCCATTATTGGCCCCAAATGATTTTATTGGGTTATTGTCAATTTACCTATGTCAGCCCTTACCATTGAGTAAGTAGACTTTAAAAATTTATTTTGTATTTCTATTTTATATTGGACCATAAAAAAGTCGCTGTACTTTTGGCTGCGTCAAGATTTTTCTTATGTAACTGTCCTTGGTGCTGAACGTGTAGGCAAACAAAATAATCTGAGGCAACATTTACTTCAAGACAGTACAAATTCTCCTTTGGCACACAGACTACAATTCTATTACGTCAAACGGTTTTACACTAGATATTGAAATACAAATGTAATATAAAATAAACCAAAGCAACTGAATAAATTTGTTCTTCCTTCCCTTTGCACTCACACTGTCTGGGTTGATATTTAAAAGAATTAAGTTCCGTGTGAGACAAAGCTTAAGGGCTTTGCACAATGACGTGTCTGGACTATTCCAGACTGGTACCTTAATGGCTTGTGTAAATTCCCCCGGTAAGGCCATGTTGATTTGGTTATATGGATGGCATCCTCTGGGAACCCCAAAACTGACGCGAGCGTGCGAATATAAAAGTTTGGCAAGGGTGAACAAATTACTGAACACACGAGTACGGTATGGCAAATAATAGACTCTTTATTTTTATTTCTTCACGTTTTCTCCCTTTTCTTTGGAATTGGTTTTGGTATTCTGCGACATTAGTATCGTTTTCCAACATTTTTTTGGCAATTTACGGTATGTATTTGCTCATTTTGCAGCTACTTTGTACGATCCATATAATCAAATCAACATGGCCTAATACTGACCTAATACTGATACTGCAGACGGTAATCTATTAAGCCATAGTAACGATTCAATCCTCCCCCCTGGATTTCATCAACGCATGAAACATAACATTTTTTCCTGGGCCTAAGTGCGGTGTAAAGGGAATAGATAGCAAATCAGCACCATGGACACGAACAGTAGCCTGAATATGGCCAGCTCTGCGCATACATGTGCAGCTTTCAGTGTTAAAGGTGTCCAATTTTCTGATTTAGGGTGAAATGCACACCATAGGCCATACCACTGTCGGGTTGCGGGGCTGTGTGGCGTAACGGCAGAGTGCTCGGATCAAAACCAAGAGGACCAGAGTTCGAATCCTACCATGCCACCGAACGTGTGTCCTCGGAAAAGACACTTTACATGACTTTCCTCAATTATCTCAGGTGAAAATGAGTATTGTCTATCTCCGCATTGGTAGCGGCATAGAGATAAACGTCACCATGTCTTGTATTAAAATTGCCTGGGTTAAAAGTACATAAAGAACATAAAAAAGAACATAAAAAACAGAAATAAACATAAAGGACATAAGAGTCTGTACTCTCATGCCTTGTACAATATGTGTAGACATAACTGATAAGTGAAACTTGAAAAACTGGCCCAAGTAAAACACTCTGTGGTACACCCTGGACTTGGAATAGCGGAGATTAGGCCGGAAGTCTGCCACCAGGGTGTATCATAAGAAGCACACATGAGCGTGTATCTGACACAAGCATCTGTTTATCGTATCAGTCTCACCACTGTGCAATGCCATAAGCAATTCTTCTGCTCTGTATGGGACATATTCAGATATTTCCTTCCTTGCAGACTCACTACAAAACCTCTGGATTCCTATAGATAGAATGACCTGCTAAGAACATCACTTCCTGACTCTCACGATGGGAACATTGCAACGCCGAGGCTCAATACAAATTGAATTTGAAAGACGCTTTATCCGTGGAATCGCACAAAGCCGACTGTAAAAGTAGGATTAACGTTAACGTTAGTATGCTCCACGTGGGCCTGTCTCTGTCTACTGAGTTTCTTGGATGGGTACTTGGGCCACAGCAAGTAAATTTTATGGATGACATCCTCAGTAGACTGCAAAATTAATGCGAAAAAAACAAGGCGGGAAATTACTAGTAAAAATTCAGCACTATTACCTGTACTTGAAGAGTTGTATACACTTCATGTAGCTAGATCAATTGTAGAAAAGAGCTTGTCGTACTCTCATGGTCAGCTACTACACTGGGTATTCATATGCGATGGAACACCTTAGACTGTTAACACTTGACATCAAACGCGAGCAGTTGTGCCTTAAGTTTGCTGGATCCCTGGTGGTCTCTAAACCACTAGACGTTTCCTACCATTTGCCCATTTTCGGCATGTTGACTACCGGCAGAGGGTGACAAAATTCCTTTTTTTTATCAGGCGAAACTTGATGCGCGCGCTGGTGTCATCCATAAAAATCACTTTGCTGTGGCCTTATGAACGTGAGCAAAGGTCTAGTTGAAATGTTTGACTGCCAATCAGATGTCACTAGTAATTTACGACTGAATGCATGTAACCTTCCCTTAACGTCTGCAGCTTTCAGCGGGGCGTTATTCAGAGTGTGGAGGGCACACAGTGGCTCAAATAAGCACTTAAAAGCGACTTTGAGGGATTTTCTTGTTTTGCGAATGAAACTAACTCCTTTTACATTCAGCTTGCACCGTCTTCTCCATACCTGCGTGAAGTCTGTTAACTCCCTACAATTCTTCATTTTCCAGCAGAGATATCAAGGAAAGCATCTTATAGCTGCGGGCTCTGTATAGTGCTGATGTCATACCTCAAAGTCATACCTCATAAATCATTCGCAGAATTCCAACAGTGATATATGGACATAATCTTCTCAAGTGAAATTTTCTAAGAAACAAATTCAAAGGCTTGTAACTTCTCATAGAAATGGCATATCGAAACAAAATTACTATTTTTGTAATTCTTGATTCTTGTTTCATCAGTCTATGAAGTTACATCGAAATTTGATTATTTGCCACCAACCTTTGCATTATAAGTAGAAAAGGGCGGGGTCAAAGTTTAAGGTCAGATAGCAAGGTCAAAGCTACCACACTGCGGCGGCTATCATATCAAAATATTCTCCACAGATATCCTACATACAGACACCCAGATCTGGGAATTCTCCAGTGTCACTGACGATATGTAATAGTGGGTGCTGCCTGAAATGTCTGGCCGTTTCCCGTTTTCAAAATGATATCAAGTTGCTTGAGTAACCTAGATGTCTAACTAAATCGTTCAAGGGGGCGAGTTGGGGGGACCAAATCACTGGTAGCTCACTTGGCCCATGGACTAGTCATCACAACCTCCCTGCACTGCAACAAGTGTGGTGTGGTTAGAGCTCATGGCACAGATTTTCTGTTATGGAATATGTGCATTCTAGAAACGTATCGTCACCGTTGCACCTTATATTATCTACTTTTACTTTAACAAGTTGGTATTCAACCTCACGCAATCGTCGTAAACCAACAGGGTAGAAGCGCCACTTACACGAACGTACAGGTACTGCAACGTTAACACTGAATGTAACAGGAATATATGGAACACAAAACAAGACACGTTTGAAAAATTGCTGACGTCACGTATCCGCAAAGTTTCGTGTGAATAAGGCCACGTGTCTGTAACCGTAACTCTCGCGAGATTACATTTTGAAGTGATTGGTCATTAATTATCCTGATGAAGGCAACAGTGGCCATTGAAAATTTGATCTCTGTGTAATCCCTGTGTTGGAATAAAGTTCAGCATTTTACTATGATTACTACCAACACAGATGAACCTTCATGATAATATAAGAACGAGTGTAGTGTGTACATACCTTGTTGGCCAGCAACAGTCGAACCAAGAACCTCCGCTTCCTTCCTCATTGTTCAAGTCATCCAGGTTGCCATGGTAACCCTGCTTCCGTCTCCATAGCCACGTACACAGGAAACCTACCGCGCCCACCGTCACCAGCACTGACGCGCATGCGCCGACGGCCAGGGCTGCATCGTAGCCTAAAAGTGATAAGAGGATTTTCTTACAGATCTGCACTGAGCAACGGTAGGATAAGAATACAACTGCAGCGTCTTTTAATTAATAAGTTACTTAAAACTAGAAAGGCCAGCATTTTATTGGAAGCAAATACAGCATATTTCAGTCCATTTCCCTCCCCAATCAAAATGGACTGTCCCATACCAACCGTTTCCATCCAGTATCAATTGTTTTAATATCCCTACGCTCCAGGTACCAAAATTTCCAATTTTTGCCTGAAAATAGCGAAAACAAGCAAGTAAAGAAAACAATTACAAAAGCCTGTAAAACGTCTGGGGGTATTTGGTCGCCCAACCTCTGTGCCAAATTCCAGGTCATTTGGTAAAAAATGAAGAAATTGAGTCCATCTAACCAAATGGCAGGAGGACGAGGAGGAGAAACATGAGAAAAACAATAAAATCCACACTTACTTATTGTATGGGTGAAAAGATAATTTGAGGAATAATAAGGAGTAGAAATAAAGGCTTCTGTTAAAACTGTCTTAGCTCACAGGATTATGTCGTTAGGAAATAGCAGAAATGAGAGGTTTGTAATTTATTTACGTATAAGTATACGTGTAAGTACGTATTGCTGCAAAATAACACCATGCAAATGCGAAACGCACCGGCAGAGGTCGCCATTGTCTTGAGGACATGCAACAAATAAACCTCAAATTACAAAAGGAGCATTTAATCACCATAAGACTATAAATGTATTCATATGGAAGAACGGTACAGAAATCCTATAGGCAAGTAGTGCCCGGGCAGTGTACATTGTCCCCTATATTTCACACAAACAGCTGTTTCAAAGTTCAAAGTGCTAAATGTGTGACAAGCTCAAAAACACTTGTATCGGCTCATTCATATACACGCAGAGAAAGTAGAGCAAACGTCTGGGAGCCAACCTGCCTGGGCACAGCTGCACAGATAGTAACTTTAATACTTGGTTGGTCTCCACCCCATTAAAAGGCATTAGAACAGGCGCTATCACTGATCATACTCCCGCTGTCAGGTAACCAGGAAGTCGGCATAGTGCAACAGGCAGCCGCGTGTCAACAGGGCAGATACCGCTATCGGATTTGGCCATTGAAAAAATTAAGAAGGAAAATCGTAGATTTCAAACCTCCGGGGTTTTTTTGTATTCTATTGGTTTAGGTTATTTGTTTGTGTGTAGTATGAAAGTTATGTGCGTAATATGTTTGTATGTGTTTGATGGCTACTGACGGTTGGTTTGGTATGGACTGTTGATTAACGTGTCTGACAGCCTGCACCGTCACCCGCGCCATTACCCCCGCCGTCATTGCTGCGCCGTCACCCAAATTTTTTATCGGAACCAGACACCCCTCTGTTTGACCCCTTTTAAATGCTAAGACCCAAAACTGCAACCTCCCCATTCCTTAACAACATGGTAAATTACATTTTCAGCATGGCGGGGG